TTTTGATCAGATAGAAATAGTTAAGTTTGGGTGTTATTGGTTAAGTTCCATCCAGTAAAACAGGAAACCCTCTATGGGCCTAAAATTTGTCTTTAAACCTAAGAAATTAATGTTTCAAAGTTTGTAAGTATTATAAATTATGCCCCCCCAGTGGCACAGCGGCATGTCTGCGGACTTACAACGCTAGAATCCGGGTTTCGATACCCGTGGTGGGCAGAGCACAGATAGCCCATTGCATAGCTTTGTGCTTAATTACAAACAAACAAATTATAAATTAAACAATAGTTATAGAGGAAAACGTAAATGAGACATGAAAATAGCCACTTTTTAAAATTATTGTTGTTCTTATTGGTGTGAATGCGCAGAAGATATGAATCTGGTATAAAACAATAAAAATTTGGATTATGTATATCGTTTGTTTGATTTTAGAAGTCCGCACAAAGCTAATCTAGGGCTAGCTGAACTAGCCATTCCTACTTGTGATGTGACAGATTAAATTATAATATGATAAGATAATCATTACTTTAGTTAGTTATTAAGAAAAACAATTTTAGTAATAATCATCTTTGTAACACAGTTTTCAGATTTCGCTGAAGATGGAATAAGTTATTCCGAAACGTGCCAACCTTGTAAATATAATTGTTTTTTTCTTGTTAAAGACAAAGCTACACAATGAGATATTTGTGCTGTAAAACGGGTATCGAAACCCGGTTTTTAGCGTTATAACCTTAAACACTTACCGCTGAGCCAATGGGGGGGATGGGCAGAAAGTAAGAATAGATTCGCATGAGAATTATACATTAAAACTTTGTTTATTTGTTTTGAATTTCGCGCAAAGCCACACGAGGACTATCTGCGCTAGCCATCCCTAATGTAGCAGTGTAAGACTAGAGGGAAAGCCAACTCTTGGGCTACTCTTTTACCAACGAATAGTGGGATTGACCGTCACATAATAATGCCCCATGGTTGAAAAGGCGAGCATGTTTGGTGTGACGGGATTCGAACCCGCGACTCGCAGATTACGAGTCGAGCGCCCCCTAACTTCCCGTTCATGCCGGATATTAAAACCTACCATTTGATAAACAATGGCGTCCTCGAATTCTGATAGTTTAATATAGATTTTAAATGTTCAATTTTTTCGAATCCTCAATTGCTCTTCATGCTCAGATCGACTCACTATAGTCGAGATAGTCTGATCATTGTCAGTCTGCAACCGAAATCGGTGACACAACTTTCTCTTAAACTGTAAACTTCAAGGTGTACTGATCTTACAAACAACGACAGAACTCCCACCAAAACTGTATCAAGGTGTATTGGTCTTACAAACAACGACAGAACTCCCACCAAAATTGTATCAAGGTGTATTGGTCTTACAAACGACGACAGAACTCCCACCAAAACTGTATCAAGGTTATTGGTCTTACAAACGACGACAGAACTCCCACCAAAACTGTATCAAGGTGTATTGGTCTTACAAACAACGACAGAACTCCAGCCAAAACTGTATCAAGGTGTATTGGTCTTACAAACGACGACAGAACTCCCACCCAAACTGTATCAAGGTGTATTGGTCTTACAAACGACGACAGAACTCCCACCAAAACTGTATCAAGGTGTATTGGTCTTACAAACAACGACAGAACTCCTACCAAAATTGTATTAAGGTGTATTGGTCTTACAAACAACGACAGAACTCCTACCAAAATTGTATTAAGGTGTATTGGTCTTACAAACAACGACAGAACTCCAACCAAAACTGTAAGTTTCAACTGCTATCACTCTTGTGTTGTGCTGAATATATCATTCACGAAGAGAAAAAAAGTGGAAAAACACATGATATATATAGTTTATATTTTATTTTCAAGTATTCACGAACTTGAGATATTTATTTCTACTAAATTTGGTAATATAATCCTACACATATATGCTTATATACTTACAGTAAATGTATGTTGAATATCACTTAACAAACAATATCGCGTGTTAATTGTACCAACAAATTGTATACAATATCACTATACAAGAGTACCTTTTACTATGGAGCGGTATCAAACCGATGGTAAAGGTTGTCATAGTTATAACTTTTGATAAATCCAAAGACATAAAATAATGTTTACAAATGTACTGATCGATGCAGTCAAAACACATTGGTTTACTGTTCGCGTGTTGGTTTTCCTTTCACTTTCCACTTAAACCACTTTAACTTCGCATTTTTTGGCATTGAATGTCGTCGTTGGAGATCGTTGTGATTCCATTCATCATCAGAAATCGGTTCATTTTGTTTGCGGGCAGGTTTTAATGGACTTAATATATCTTCAGCTTCTTCAGCTCCCGATTCATCGTTTGCTATGACTCGCATATTGCGATGGACTGGTCGATTTTCCTCGTGGTGGGCTGAGTTTCGCTGTGCACGTGGACTACCTTCATTACGACTTGTTCTGTATGGATAATGAGGGCTGTTCTCGTAGTAAATGGTCTTGTGATGAGAAGTGTTTTCGTTTCGGTTTTGCTGCTGGCTGTTTTCTAGCCGATTCTTTCTGTGTTGATGTCGGGGGCTGTCCTCGTGGTAAATTTTTGTTGAATGTTTATCATTTGGTGAGTTGGATTCGTTCTTAACATGTGTCCTAGATCCGGGAACTTCATTGTCTATTTGGTCAGTTACAGAAGAGTACGCATGGTATCTTGCCGAATCACTATCAGAGCTGGATATGACTGATGCTGCGGAAGAACTAGTTAAGATGCCATGGTGACGATTCACTGGACTTGTACGCTTTCCAAGTGCCGCTCTTTGACGTGCATTATAAGCCGCAGCAAGACCTCCACGGACATAAGATGGCTCACTCTGCACAGATGATGGTTTGTTGTTTTCACTAAGTCCTAACAAAGACATAGAGTTTGATTTTTCTCTCCGCATGGTGTTGTTATCTCCATCACTCATGCCTCTCACCTTCATCCATACACAGTCGTTTTGGCGATGCGTATCTGTCTGGTATTTCTGGTCACCTGAGTATTGTCTTACATTGGAAGTTTCCTTATCTCTGAGACTAGATGGTAGAGAAAACATTTCCTGACGGTAGTCCTCACTGGCTTCTTGAAACCAGAGATCACTAACACCAGCACCTTCTCGTAACCAATTTTTTTCACCGTGTGGAACATTTTCATAGTTTATTTCTCTGTTTTTTGAATCGACCTCCCTGATGAGAGATGAAGGCATGATACCGTTTTTACGAGAGAAACTGTTCATCTCGCTGGAAGCATCTTGATGGATCCATTGATTTTTGAGGTGAATATCAGCGTTTTCATCATACCATTCCTTCCCGTTGGAACCAGTTTCGTCATTTCCAGTTTTTTTTTCATCTTCTTCCACATGAAATCCAGTGTTGAGTTTGAATCCAAACGACCGATTCTTGCTTTTAACCTGTCGTAAAGACCCCTTCTGTGACAGCACTTCGTTGCCAGTTGGGACATCAGTCCTCGTTTTATGCTTACTTTTTTTAGTTTTGTCTACCTGACTATAGATGGCGTTGTTGGATAGCTGATTTTCACACGATACTCTTTGTTTTTCCTCTACTATAGGCACGTTGCTAAATGCAAACACATAACCCCCAGATGGACGAATTATTCTAGAGTTTTTTCCTGCTCTGTGTGAAAATGACTTTCTTAGAGACTCTGTGTTACATTGAATACCAATTTCTTTGGTAAACGTTTCAGCCCTGTTTTCCGGTATTATTCGTTCAGGTGAATTTCGAAGAAGTCCTTCTTTGTAAAATGTTCTCCACTCCCTGTTGTCATTTTTCAGAAGATCATCATAAGATTTAACCCGACGTCTTCCAGGTTTTGGAGACGTATCCTCATAAACTCGGGTGGCCTTATCGTTATGCCAAGTTTGTTGTCTTCTTTCCAAGGTCTTCTCGAAATGTTGGCTATCTGGATACTGGGTGTTAGATGTTATGCATTCAGAAACATCAGAGATCAATCTATCGCCACCATCCCATGCTTCTTTGTTTTGTTCAGACCGTTTGACTACCAATTCATAGTCTTCATTACCAATATCATCATCAACACTTTGAATTCTTTGGTAACTTCCTAATTCTTCCGTTGACCTATTGGCGCGAGGCGAGCTTCGACGGCGACCATAGTCTAGTTTACTGTTTCTATTTTCACTATGTTCCTTCCGGTTTGTGACGTCACCACTACCAAGATTTTTAGTGTACATTTGGCCTTTTTCCTTTTCTTGTGGGCTTTTGCTAAACATAACTTTGACACCTTTTTCAATCCTGTTTTTTGTAGGTGATTTTACTCTGTTTTCTTTTGCTATGGCACCACTATAGTCAATTGGCGGATCGGAAGGTTGGATTTTGTACATTGTGTTACAACGAAGTTCCGTTGCTGGATCACCTTTTTTCCCTCGCTGCACCGTTGCTTCCTTATTGAATATATTCACAATGCTCTTAACGTGGTTTTGTTTAATTTGCGTGTCCTCTGCTCGCTTTTCATTCTCATTTGTCTCTACCTCATAACTGGATGTAGTTCTGACAGGAAAACGTCTCTGATGATTCGACGTATTTGTCATTTCCACGATAGGTGGCAGTTTGTTTTTCCCAGTTTCCTGTCGCTGAATGTTTCTGTTTTCTGAGTAATAATCGTACTCTTTTCTTAACTCTAGCTTGGAATCACCATGGCGTCGGTTTTTATAGATTTTAAACCAAAACTTTTTCTCGGGGCTCATACTGGGGAAAGAGTCATTATCGACGTCACTTCCGTTAACATATTCGTTCGGCCGACGAGGATACTTCTTTATCCTAACAGCTTTGTTAAAACTGACCTTTTTATTGCCTGAAGCTCGTGAATCACTGCTGACGTCAGAGTGGTCCGAGCGAGTCGACTCTGTACGTCTGATGGAGGGGCTAAGACCAACCAGAGTTGCAGGCATATTAACCAGTTCGTTCTGGCATGTAAGTCAACACTCAGTAACCGGTAAACTACCAGATATATTTCGCTTCTTTCCTTAGAAAGTGGCAGTTTCAGTCACAATGTTTCTTTTCGCCAGGTCATCATGATGAAATAGTTAGATCACCACTGAACTTTTCGGTGTTGTGGACCATTCACAGTACCAGTTCCTAAAAGGATGAGAAATTGAAACTTTTGATAAAAAATACCTTCATTTAAACTACTTCAATCAGACATCTCGAAAAGAAAAACAATAAACATTAAACGTAACACTGTGGTAACTAAGATACAAACTTGAAACATTGAATGTAATAATGTATCCACTAGAACAGAAATTTGACACTTTAAACGTAACATTAAGGTCATTGAAACTTCATTTATATTTTAAAAGTTACAGCTTAAACAATAAAGCGAAGCATTAGAAACGAATAGGCCTAAAATTTGTGACGAAAATCATATAAACTGCAAACCTCCTTTTTTAAAATCCAAAATGGATTAATTAAATGAATGAGGAAAAAAACATGCAATTATTCTGTTTAATATAAACAGAAGTCGGCTATAATGTTTGAATCAGAGAAACAAGAACAACAGTAAAGTTGAAATAATACATTTGTCAAAATCTAGAGTCTCGAAGAAGTTCAAAGATTCTAAACAGTAATTACCTTATTAGCTTTGCCATGAACGAGTGAATGGAAAGATTCTAAACAGTAATTACCTTATTAGCTTTGGCATGAACGAGTGAATGGTCAAAAGTAATTACACGAAATACTAACTGTACAGAACCAATTAACGAAAGGCACCTTTCTTCTTTAATTTGGTATAGGATTTTTCATGGCCGAAAGTGTTAACTAGATTTTATTAAAGAATTAAACATAATGTTTGCAATTAGCAAAATATCATAAAAGTTACAAAAGATTGGGGCCTGGCATGGCCTGGTGGTTAGGGGACTCGTCTTACAATCTGTGACTCATGATTTCCAATCCCGTAACAGAATATGCTTGCCCTTTCAGTTGTGAAGGCGTTATTATATGTCGGTCAATTCCACTTTTAGTTGGTAGAAGAATAGCCCAATATTTTGGTGGTGGGTTGTGTTGACTAGCTGCCTTCTCTTTAGTCTATCACTTCTAAATTAGGAATGGCTAATGTGGCTAGCCCTCGGGTAGCTTTCGGCGAAATTCCAAAAAAACAAACAATAACTTCACTTTTAAAAAAAATTAACAAAAATTACTAGTAATGTTAATAAGTTACGAGGAAGGAACATAAAACAATTAAGAACTGTCCAGGAATGTATCGAGGGTATTGTTTAAAAGTAACCCATGTAAAAATAGCTCGAGGCTGGAAATTAATCACCTTTTATGTCTTAGCAATGACGTAGGTAGATTCGGAGTGACATCTAATCATGAGATACTATTAACGTTATTTCAAAATGATTGCTGGTTATTTTTATGTGCATAATCATCGCGTTAAGAAGAAGTTTCGGACCACCTTGAAGTTCAGTAGTTGGTGAAAGACTCCGAAACACTATTACCTCATCCTGCCACTATTTTCAAGATGGTTTCGTCTAGGCCTAAGATGGAGAGTGTTCCTTTAAGCCATTTGGTTCGTAGTCCAGAAACATGGACAAAAATACACTAACAAAAATTAAATTGCAAAATCATACTATTTATATTGTTGCGTCAGCGAGGTCACGTGACTAGTATCACGCCACCTGTTTTCTAGAAATATCCTGTTCCTTCGTGAATGCCCTAGCATTTACTAGGTTGGAGATAGTCTGGTATATATATAAGATAGTCACAACGTGACGGGACAATGTGTAGTAGTGAGTAATTGAACTGCATTCAGAGAGTGTGTAATTGAGTATTGTTGAGCACGAGCACATGAGACGTTCTAGCGTTTGTTATAGCGCGACTGTTGAAATTAAGTGTATCGTAAAGTTGTATTCGGAAAGAATAAACCAGTTTTATTTAAGAAAGGAATTGTGTCGCTAAAGTTTCGTCGGAACGAATTTACGAAAAATCAATTAACAAACGGAGACGTAACAATATTAAATATTCACCTTTAGACTGTTCTTGTCATACCGAATAGTGAGATTTGACTGTTACCCTTATAACACACCAACGGGCCAAAAGTCTGGAAAATGATTTTTTTTCTGCGATAACTTCATAATCCGGAACGCTAACTCAGTCCAAGTGAATAAGAAGAACGTTCTTGTTTGTATTTAAGGAAATTTGGAATAACATTTGCCATATTCTAAATATTATATTTCATGCTTTTTTTTAACAGTTTGGTTTCAGTTATTTGAATAGACGCAATATTTTTAACAAGTTTATCGCTGTTACTGTCAAGTATATATTTTAATTTGCTATTCAATTCTAGATTTATTAGATTTGTTACAGGAGAGGTAAGTTCACATCCAATCACATCTACGTGACTACTTAGTACATGAAACCTACATTACATTATACAGGAATAGCATAGATCAGCAAGTGTCACTTCTCAGTGCCTCGAGAAGTTATAACGGTGTGCTCATCTTCTACTTAATAGTTTGAAATATTAGCTTCTTAGTATTTTAGATAATGAAAATCTCTACCATTGAAGTATAAATCTAGTAGTTCCAATCAGTTACTAGTTAGGCTTAAGCATTAATGTCTGTATTTTCAAACTTTGTTGCTTTATTTAAAGCAAAGTTACACAATGAGCTATCTTCTCTATTTTCACCGCGGAGAATCGAGCCCAGGGTTTTAACGTTTTAAGACTACTAAGCTACCGCCGAACCACCTGAGGACATTTTCTAAGATCTGTTTTAATTGTTAAGGATCTTTTTAAATTATTTATAATAATTCGATACACTTCTTAATTAGGCTTAACTAATACAGCAAAGTATTCAATTAGGCTTAACTAATACAGCAAAGTATTTAATTAGGCTTAACTAATACAGCAAAATATTTAATTAGGCTTAACTAAAACAGCAAAGTATTTAATGACGCTATTGCTTTTGCTTAAGATAACTTGTAACTTCTTAGGGGTTGTCTATAGCATTCTTTAAGAATTATTTAAACCCATAATTCTTTTTTTAACCAGTTGGGGAATATAAAACTGTCAATTTGTTTTATCATAAAGTTACACGCCCCCCAGTGGCAGAGCGGTATGTCAGCGGACTTACAACGCTAGAAACCGGGTTTCGATACCCGTGGTGGGCAGAGCACAGATAGTCCATTGTGTAGCTTTGTGCATAATTAAATTACAATTACATAAAGTTACACAATGCGTTCTCACAGGGAATCGAACTTCGGACTGTAGCGTTGTAAATCAGTAAACATACCACTGCCCCATTGTAATAAATACGTAACCGACTTCAACCATGATTGAGTTGTGACTGACGTATAAAAGTAAGAAAATTTTGCTTATATAAGATATATAAGCTGACAAATCAAATTCATTGAAACATTGACGCTTTCGACAGGTGGACCAAACCTAGGGGGCGCCTTCTAATAGGGAACGATATCGCTGAAAGGGGGCTTGGAATATCTTGGAACAGTCTTGAAATAAAGCAGTCGCCCGTTGGGACAAATATTTTAAGGTGGCTGATAAAGGAGGTGAGAAAATGGATATATACAGAAGGTTGAGTACGTCATATTAAAAATATTTCACGTCTCAACTACAGCCAGTATAAAGTCGTGGTGGAACGGATTGTATCAGAACTACATTTTAACATTATTTGACGCCTCGTACATAGGTGTGATGCCCCTGAAAAGTGATCGCTTTTTGGAAAGCCATGTAAAAACCCTTCCCCCCCAAAAAAAAATAGTCAATCACTCAGATAATAAAGATATGTTGAGATCCAGGATATAGAATTCTCGAGATGAGAATATTCTTTGTACTTAATGGAAAATAGATCAACTTGAAAAATCATGACTATTCAGGAAAATAGATGACAATACATTGGAAACAGGACACATTTCTATACAAGTTGTTTCTCCGTTCAACTTTCGAATACCTCAAGCATTTGGTGAACGAAACGAGTATTCATGGAAAGGCATACCAATCAAGCCGCTTTGGAATTCTGTGTGATTGAACTAATGATACGAGAGCTGTCTTATTGAAACCATGCAAGGAGCAGTGGTGTGCTTTTGACATGACAAGCCTTACAACGACGCATTTGGCAAAAGAAATCACGCTGCAGGCCGTCAGAGAGAGCATGACTGGGCGTGGCGACAAAGGCTGTGACGACGTGAGGCCCCAAAATCGTATAAATATAACGTACGTAGATTTTATTGGCCAATATAGTTGGTCATATTGGAGAAAAGAGGTGAAATGTCTGTACTTACAGTGGATGGTTGGGGGTGAGGGGTAAGAATACAATTGGTTGGGAACCACTGAGCTAAGGTTTCTTTGCTATCATAGTGCGATATTTCTTTACATACCTCAAATGTCACAAACTTTAACGTAATTACTACATTTTTCATCTTTCAATTATTGTAATTAATACGACATACGATATAACACCTTTGGTATATCAAAAGGAAATATTAATAGTTTTACAGGACAAAAAACTTTTCACATCTAAGAATTTTCCGTTCAAAAGCTTAGCCAAGAAAAATCAAATACATTTCATTAATTGGATAAATTCCAAAAACACTAATGAAATTCTATATAAAATGTGTATTTCAAGGAATAATCTTGTTCTTCAGTGATTCTGAGAAATTAAAGCAGTCGTGCGTCCTGGTCAAATAGGGTTAAAAACAGAAGTTAAAAAATTCATCTACACCCGGACTTCAACTATCCCTCTCTATCTTCTGACAAGCTCTTACATACGTAACTAAATGTTAGATTTACTTCCTCGTACAGAAGATATAGCTTAATGTCTATAACATAAGAACATGTTTCAAATACCTTAATTACAAGATATATATAACGCTCACGCTAACAAGTAACATATTCTGTTGAGAGGATAACCCATCAACATGCAAGGACATGAATAGACGGTTCTTATTAAGCAAGTATCACCGTCCTGATTGGTCCTTTTGTTGCAAAAGGTTTTTCCGTAGGCAAGGTCAGCGGTTGTGGATAACTGACCTTCAGAGTCAGGGACCGTGACGTAAGTTCTTGAAAACTTGGCGATATATATACTTGTTCAAGCACAACTGTAGTCGTTAATATATACCAAATT